TAGCAGCTGCAGCAAGCAGTAGGAGCTGCAACAAGTAGTAGCAGCTGCAGCAAGTAGTAGGAGCTGCAGCAAGTAGTAACAGGAGGCACGTCAATCCTTTCACCCATCACAATCCTTCTCCTCCGCCTGTTTCTTCATCCACGCACGAAACTGATTTCTGCTCGGCAGAGTGGTGCGCTTAGGGCCCGTAGCTCTAGGATGGTCGTCTTAAGATGGCTGGAGGAAGTACTTCGAGCAGTAGCTAGAGGTGTAAGCTATCATTCACGATGGTGACGTCTCCAGATTCAGGGATGTCGCACGCAAGGCGCCCTCGTCCCACTAACGTTAATCGAGCATCGCAGGTACGAGTTTCACCCCGGCCCGTTTTGCCAACAACTTCACCTTCCTCCAGCGATCCTAGCGACAATTCCCATGGCATTCGCCGACCGCCGCTTCCTAGAGTCGTGATCCCTACTTTTCCGGAGTCTAGTCGCCCGCAAGGCATGAAACGAAGGATTCTAGATGCTGCGCCTCCTTCCCCTCGTCATAGGATGACGAAACGCTCTCGTAACGCGTTCACCGCCAAGGAGAAATTGCACTGGCTGGCCATGTTGGAGTCACAGCCTGACCTCAGCATCCGTGGCTTGGCGAAGCTCGCCAAGGTGCAGCCCAAGCAAATCCGCGAGTGGAGGCGACTCAAGGAGCGTCTCGAGGTCGCCGCTGGTTGTCGCCGACGTCTTAACGGTGGAGGGCGTAGGGCGAAGTGGCCCCTGATGGAGAAAGCGGTTTACCGCCAATTCTTGGCGCACCGTGCCAAAGAATTGGCGGTGTCGGTGAGCCTTCTCCGCAAATGGGCAACTCAGTACATGAAGCACCGTCAGCCTACCGCCGATTTTCGCGCATCGGCACGTTGGACCTTTCGCTACCGCGTGCGGTGGTCATTAGCGCAACGCGTGAAGACAAAGATGGGGCAAAAACTAGCCGCCGGTGAGCAAGTTGCATGTCACCCCCCCTTGCCGTAACGGTTTACGTAAAATGCTATCTAACACATGTGTCGTTGTGTGTTTAACAGATTGCAAGGGAAAGGTGGAGTCCTTCTGGGAATTCGTCCGCCAGATGCGCATGGTTCATCGCTTTCCCCTCAACCTCATCGTGAACGCTGACCAGACCCCGCTCTGGTTGGAGATGCCGGCAGAACGCACCCTCGAAATGAAAGGCGCCCGCACGGTGCATGTCAGGACGGCGGGGTACGAGAAGGAGCGTGTCACTGTCATGTTGGCAGTGACGGCTGACGGCCTGAAGCTTCCCCCGTATGTCATCTTCAAGCGGAAGACGGTGCCACGAATCGTGGTGCCACCAGGTGAGCCCGATGTGTTTCTGTCGTTGATTCCTTCTGTTCCTCTTGTTTCTCCATTACTGATTTCCAGTTGTGGCGTGTGCAGGTATCGTCATCCGCGCCCAAGAGAAGGGTTGGATGGACGAGCGCCTTGTCCAGGATTGGACAACACAGGTGCTCGTCCCCTTCTTGAAGCCGTTGCGGGACGAGGGCGGGCGGCGCAAGCAAGCGCTCCTTGTCTTCGACTCGTACAAGGGGCACCTGACGGAATCTGTGGGGCAAACTCTGAAGATGTTTAAGGTGACGCGTGCCGTCATCCCTGGCGGTTGCACCCCCCTGGTGCAACCGCTTGACGTCTCCATCAACCGCAGTTTCAAGTGCGGTGTTCGCCACCGCTACAGCACGTGGTTTGAGGAGGTCGGGATCGGCCAAACGACACGTGTAGGTGAGTCGTGGTCGATTTGTGAGCTTTAAGATGACTAGTCAGCATTAACTCCACTGCCTTTACATCTCTGCTGTGCATTCTTCTTGTGAACTCCAGGGAACTTGAAGAAGCCCCCCCCTGAAGTGATCCTGAAGTGGATCGTCGAGTCATGGGCTGATGTGCCAGAGGAGCTGGTGAAGAAAGCTTTCCTCACCTGCGGCATCTCCAGTGCCGAAGACGGGAGCGAGGATCATCTGATCCTGGCTCACCTGCGGGACAAGGCGGAAGTGGAGGTGCTGGAGGATGTGCTGGACGAGGGGGAGGACGGGGTGAACCCCAACCCGTTCTACGAAGACCCCTCGCACGCCCCTGAGCCTGCCGCTACCAAGGACGATGAGGCAGAGGACGAGGAGGAAGGGCTTGCAGGGGAGGAGGATGTGGTGGATGCTGCTGCCGAGGAAGGGGATGTGATGGCTCCGGAGGAGGAGGGGGATGAGGCAGATGCAGAGATGGGAGGTGCGGACGAGTGGAGTGAGGATGGAGACGACTGGTGGGCAGCAGGCCGCTATGAGGGAGAGGAAGTGGAGGAGTGGGTTGCAGGCGAGGATGAGTGACTATTTTTATGTTGTTCTCACCCCTTGTTGCCCCCTAAATCTCTGAAATGCAAACCGTGAATAGGTTGCATTGGTGTCAAGCTTTTCTTGCTAGTGAAGCACTTGAAAAGACATCTTATTTCCATTATAAACTAGTGACAACCATGAAGGGGGTCTAGTAATGTTTACCCCTCTAGGGGGGGGTATAGTGAAAACCTGCCAAAATAAAAGACCCACCCCCGTAATACAGACCCGGGGGTCTTGTATTCCGGGGGGTCTATTATCCGGGAGCTTACGGTACTGCTAGTGGTACAAAGGTCAACGAGTTAGTGCTCTCAGACCGGCCAACCGCCGAGCGTGAGCTCTGCTTGAACGACAGCGGTGGGCTCGGCTTCTCAACAAAATTCAAACTGCCAAAACATTGTTCATAGAATGCTTCGGCAATGTTGTTGGTTTATCTAGAGGAATGCTCAACGGTCGAGGTTTCTTCAAAGAATCATTAGAAGGTGTGCATGAGCAATGTTCAATCAGGTTCGGCAAGCAATGCGAGTTCCTACGGGCCCTGGTGGGCGCAAACCCACCAGGTCCCTCTCGTGGTGGAAGTCGAATCCACCAGGACGCGGAGCCGGCGGAAGCCTTCTGCCCTTTGCAAAAAAAACTATTCCCCATCGCGACCGGCATGCCGTTCGGGAGCCTCAACCCTAAAATTTTAGGGTTGATGCTCCCGAGCCGCATGCCTTCCGAGTGGGTTTTAGTTTTTTTCTTGCCTGCGGGCAGATCGCTTCCGCGAGCAGGCGGAAGCGGTCGCGGATTCGCCCGTGTTTTTCCGACAAGGCTCGTATGAACATTTGAGAGCATACGACAAGCATTGCTCATCCTCACTACAGCAACCGGAATAAATAATCTAGGAGCCCTTTGTAATGGATTAAAGAACCACGGTACACTCAGACAATCCTAAACTACATAAAAAACGTAAAGAAAATGAAAATGGGTGGGCTATAATGAAACCTTAAAATCGTGACACACTAATTGTTATTTGCTGAGGAATGTAACTACACGTAGATCTTATATTTCAAGTCCTACCATACATCACTGACAAACATATTTACAATACCTGGTCAGCCTTACCAATTACAGATCCCATCATCCTACAACATCCACACATCAAAATGATCATCCAATAATGATACACAGTATCTTATTTCAAGCAGGACAAAGGTTCTGCACACAGTAGCATACGCTGCAAATTAAGGCCAACACAACAAACGTAAACGACATGAACCTACCGATCAGTCATGCCCTTGTTATGAAGGTAACTGCAGTGTGAGAAGAACCGTGATTTGCTCGACGATAAGATGGCGGAAAAACTTTTGGAAAATGTCAGCTTGAAAATAAAACTGAGACTCGTGGCGATAATAACGAAAGTCGCGGAAATATAGCGTTGTCAGAAGCGCTGGTATTCTGCAAAGAAACAACTACTCACAAGCGCAGTAGACAAGGCGTTTTTAGGAGAATCCATAACTCACCTGAGCTATTTATTTATTTACCAGTGGGCGTGGGGCGTGACAAGGTGTCTAATCGCCAGCTTCATACGGCGAGTCAAACTAAAAAGCAGAACCGTCCGCCACAGCAGTCTTTCAATAGCCTGCAAGAAGGAGGATGCAAGAACAGTATGAGACAAGAATTTAGAATGCGCAGGCAAAGTCTAATATTTAGGAACAGCCAGAGAAGAGAAGCAGCTGAGTGAGTGAATAAAACGGTAGGCGAAATTTCCAAGACGTGAAAATGAAGAGGTGGCGAGTTCTGGACGGAGTTTGAAGGAGGGGGGGAGGAGTATCTCGCAAAACAGTAGGTAGCAGTGTGGTGTTGTGTCACACGTGAGGATTGGCGAAAGCACGAAACGGTGTGTTTCGAAACATCCTACTACCTTGGTTGCCTAGCAGCTTGACGAATTTGGCGATATGGAAACCCTACGCCATTTGTGTTTAAATTCGCCACCCTTGCCCAAACCACATTCCCGCTGTCACCTTATCTGATTCAAAGTCGCTATAGCCTGCTTTGTTATAACGGCTTAAAAATTCCGTTCATTCAAACGTGAAGTCAGTTCTCTCATTCATGCAGGTTCAACACCACTGTGCATCCAACTCAACCAGAGCAAATTCACTGTACCAAACGAAATTGGCACGTGCGGGGCTCCTTGGATGCGGAACTGCTAGCAGCTGTAGAGACAATGGGAAAGGGGGGACATTGTACAGCTAATGCTCGTTAGAGCCCCTCCCGGTTGCCTTGTAAAGGGGGTCTGTAAGCTAAAACGTCATTTCGTCGGTTCGTCAAGGGTTTCGTCAGGCTTTGCGCGTGCATTTAACGCGCATATGGTTACCACTCGCTTTGTCCGTTATGTAACAGTGTCGGGTGGCACCTGTTGTCACAAGTGCGCGTTACCGAAATCCACACGAAAGCAAAACTGAACCGTCAAGCAACATCAACATTTGTTCAACTTAGATTGAAACAGCTGACACACAAAGCCGGGCCAATCACGAACTACCACATGGCCCCTCATCCCCTCTACCGCAATTGTGCCCGTTACGTGCACAATCCAAACACATAGCAAATCCACAAAAACTCCACCATCCTAACCTTCGACTCCTCATGAGTCCACAAAACGAATTCACACATGCATCCACTCTGCCGCCTCCACGTACCCGCCCATCGCGGCGCCAACCCCGGCGTCCAGAAGCTGCTGACGGCGGGACGGCTGGGTCATCCAGCCAGGCAGCACTCGGCCCCTCGGACGCGGGGTGTCAGGCGGCGGAGTTACAGTCGGCGAAAGCCGCGGCGGCGGGGCCGTGTTGAGATTGAGCGCGGGGCTTGCCCGCTCCATGCGCTCCCTGATAATCGGATTACGAATGTCGAACAGGTGGCAAAGGTCGCGCGGCGTCACGCTCACGGCGCGAGCGTAGCCGATGAGCATCTCGCTGGCCGCCCGTGCCGTGCGCCGCGCTTCACGGCCGATTGGGTCGGATTCGTCATACACGGCCTGCATCTTGGTAGGCGCCCTCCATAGCTCCGCCACCAGGCCCACGTCCGCATCATCCGGTGTCGCGCCCGCTGCCGCCTCCGCGCACGTCGGCTCGCCCTCGTCGATGGCGACGTACTCGGCGGCGGTCATCGCGCCGGTGCCGAGGCCGAGTCCGCCAATGAGGTCGCCGACGTCGTCGATGTCGTCGTCGAGCTCAATGTCGGGGTACGCATGTGGGGTCGGCTCATCATCATACACATGGGTGAGCTCCAGGGACCACGACAGAGGCATGCAGCCCGTGCGCCAAAAGCACCTCTGGATGGTGCGCGCACCGACACTCATCCAGGCGTCTGAGAGCCACCCCAGCACATCGTGCTGATTGGGGCGATAGCGGGCCACAGCGCTTGTTGCGCCGTCGTCGTTCCACGGCGCCGTGAAGGCACGCAGCCAGTGCTGGCGATAGCGGGCCTTCGCGGTCGCGATTATCCCCTGGTCGAGCGGCTGCGTGAAGGCGGTTGTGTTCGGCGGCAGGAAGATGAGGCGCACGTTGCTGAGGTGGGTGGTCCGCATGCCGCAGACGATTTCGCTCCACGCGCACTCGTCCTGCAGCATATGGGAGCTGGCATTGTCGAGCAGCACCGCGATTTCCCTCCCTTCGGCATACATCGCGGCATTGAGCTGCGATATGAAGTTGGTGAACAACTGTTGGGGGGGGGGGGGTCGGGTTGAGAAAACTATAAATTAACATAAGTAACATAAGAACACATGCACAAATAGAATTACACGGCCGGGTGCACACTTACCGCACTGGTCATCCAGCCCTTGGCGTTATGCCGCCAGTAGCAGACGGCTTCGGGGTCGTAGTCCGGCCGGAAGTCATGAGGACGGCGCGCCTTGCTGATGACGAGCGGCCGGAAAACATGGCTGCCGTCGGCGTTGACGAGAAACGCGACGGTCAGCCGCTCCTTTGAGACCTTGCGACCCGGAATGCGGGCGTTGCTGTATGTTTTTCGGGGCAGCACAGAGAGCCACAGAGCTGTCTCGTCAAGATTGAAGGTGTCGCGCGGCTGGTAGCCGAGGTGAGTAAGAAGCGCCGGCACCTTCTCACGCGCTTCACGCACAGCAGCCATGTCGGCGCTCGCCGCCTCGCCGGTGGCGGCACGGCACCGCACTCCCTGGCGCCGCAACGCACGGCGCACCCAGCCAATGGAGCATCGAAACACGGGCGGAATGCCCATGTTGCGCGCCATAATCGCCACGTGATCGCGGATCGTTTGCAGAGTGAGTGGTACGCCTGCGGGGCCAGCGTTAGCGATCCAGCGAGCCATCGCCTGCTCAAGCTCGGGCCATGCGCCACCACGACGGCGCACTTGATTGGCGGCGGCGGGGTCGGTGATTGCCCAACGATCGGCATTCTTCAAAATGCGTCCGACCGTGGAGCGGTCAGGCCGCAGGCCATACTGGGCGTAAACCCAGCGGGCCAAGTCTACGTGACGCAGAAGGGGGTGCTTGACGTGATGCGCGCATAATGCGCGCTTGATGTGCAGCGGAAGCTGCTCACGGCGATTAAGTCGCGGCATGGTGGGCGTGCTGTGGGGGATAAGGTGAAGGCGATGCTTCAGTGAATTTGCTAATCGGTTTTAATCTTCATTTGGCGGACGAGGATGATCGTTGCTGGGGCCTGTTCGGATTGACTAGGTTGAATTTGTGTGGTGGGTGTTCGTTGCATGCTCGTTGCTTACAATGTCGAACATGTGGATGGGTTACCACCATAGTGCAAAGCTGACGTGGGGTTGTCGAACAACGCCTGGTTGTTAATGGGCTTGTACCCCAAAAGTGCGGAATACACGTGGCAGCGTGCACCAGCCCAGATGTCTGTTACACGCACCATGATACTCGCCTAGGTGGCGGGGCAGGTGGGCGAATGCACTTACGAAACCACTGTCATTTCGTCCATTCGTTTCGTCAGGTTGGCGCCTGGCCTAGAAACAAGGGGAAACATGGGTCGGCACTGCTTGTTGTGGTCTGCACGTGGCGGAGAGGCCCATAACCGTGCACTGTAGAAGGCCATCCAGATGCCTGTACATGGGGTGCAGCAAGCAGGGATTTCGAGTTCGGGGGCAGCGTGTCCATCCGGTGCATGGCAAATTCGCGTGCACTGGTCGGGCATCATGTGTATTACACTCTTTCAGCACATGTCGAGCAATGCTCACCCTCCGAAGCACTGTTTGAAGTTACCGTAGCCATTGCTCGTGCAATGGTTTGTGCGCACACATGAGGAAATCCGAAATTTGGGCATATTCTGAGGCGTTGTGAATTTTGTTGAGTTGTACTTCGACTGCGGTGAATTTCGCGGCGCTTGTACGACAACAGGAAAGTTAGTACTAATTAGTGGACGATGGCCGTCTCGCTTTGAGTGATGCGAGTGCTGCGGCAGGTCGCGGAAAATCATGGGATCCGCGCGAGCTCTTAGTACTGGTAACTCCGTTCTGCGCGCCGCGTTCGCGATCCTCGTCGTCCTCTCGTGCCTCACTCGAGTGTCACGTTACCATCAACTCACAGCACTGTCACTGTCAGACGCTCCTTTCGCCTTCCACAATGACGTCGCACTCCGTTATCGCCCCTCTCTAAAAAACCCGACCGACGATCCCCTGCCAACCAAGCCCGCCGCCACTGCTTCCCTTAATCTCACTGCTCCTGTGCTTCCCGTGCCTCTTCCTATTCAACCTCTTAGTATGGTTCGTCGAACCGCTTATAAGCGACCGGCGACGAGGGGAGACAGCCAACCGGCGAGAGGAGACAGCCAACCGGCAAGGGGAGACAGCCAACCGGCGAGGGGAGACAGCCAAATGGCGAGGGGAGACAGCCAACCGGCGAGGGGAGACAGCCAAACGGCGAGAGGAGACAGCTCGGCGCATGCCCATCATCTCACGAGCGATTCGTGCGTGACGGCCATGAGTAACTCACCCGCCGATGGGCCCAGCCCGGTACTGACTCCGCCGCAGAAGCGGCGTGCCGCAGCCGCATGCAGAAGGGAGCTACTGAACGCGCTGCGGCAGTGGGCGGCAGAGGTCAGGCTGAGAGAGGCCAAGGCGGAGCTGCTGCCGAGCCCCCACTTGCAGCTCACTCGCGAAGGTCATAGCCCTGCCAGTAGCCCCACCGATAGCCGTGGTACTACCGTCGACAGCACCACTGCTAGTAGTACTGAAATTAGTACCAACACCGGCGCCAGTGGCGTGACCAGCACCATTGACACAACTAGTAAGAGCGCAGTTGCTGACTCTCTCAGCCCTGGCAATGCTACTGCAGTTGCTGCTCCTGCACCTGCTGCTCCTTCTGCTCCTGCTGCTCCTACTCCTCCTGCTGCTCGTGTTGCTCATGCGTCTCTCGCTGCTCCTACTCCTGCTTCTGCTCCCGCTGCTGCTAGTCCTGCTGCTCCTGTCGCTGCACCTGCTGCTGCTGCTGCTGTTACTGGTGCTGCTGTGACAGCAGACTCCGCCGTCCTGCTGTGCTCCGCGGCCTGGCAGCGGGCGGCACAGGTGCGAGCGGTAGCGAGTGGGAACATGCGGAGGTCGTTGAGGCGGAACGCGACGACGCTGGTGCGGATAGAAGTGGGCGTGGATGCTGTGTGCCGCGGGGTGCGCGAGATAGAGGCTAGACTGGTCGGCGAGTGCAGTGGCAAGGGCAACGCGGGTGGCCAGGGTGGGAAGGTGCTGGTAGCTGAAGCAGGAGGCGCAACAGGAGCGGGAGCAGGAGCAGGAGCAGGAGCAGGAGCAGGAGCAGGAGTAGGGGCAGGAGCAGGAGCAGGAGCAGCATCCAGAGAAGCAGCAGTAGCTAAGTGCAGCACGTGGCCTGAGGCGTGCTGGCCTCACATGCCCTTCTCCGATGTCATGGTGCTCCCCATCCCCTTCCTTATCCCCCCTCCTTCCTCACCCTAATGCCTTCCTCCCCTCATCCATCGCAACACGCAAGCTTTCTCACCTTGCCCACTCAAACAAGCGACTCTTAGTACTCCCCTGCACCCCTTCACACCCCCCTCCTCAAGTCTTCCTCCCCCGAGCCTTCCCCGTTTCCCCTTTCTCCACGACATCCCCTCCAGTCCATTAGGGCACACAAGCACTAATGACACTTCTAAGCACCCCCCCCCCCCTCCCCCCCCTCCGGCCCCATGCCCTTTATTCCACCCGCAGGCCAGCAGGGCGCGCAAGTTCCTCGTATTCGCCTACTCCGACGAGCAGCTCTCCAACACGCGCTCTCACCTTGCAGAGGCCACCCGCTTCGCCCAAGCCACCAACCGCACGCTCGTGCTGCCCAAGGTACCACCACTTCCGTGGAAACGCCTGCGGGCTTATGTGACGAAAATGTGAAAGGCAACCGCTCTGGCTCTGGATAACCCCCGCTGTGGTCCGGTGGTATATGGCACGGACAGCTATACCACTCCATCGCTTCCCAATGTACCACTCCCCTTGGTGCCCAAAGCACCACTCTGCACGTTTCACTACACACTCTCTCCTGTCTCCCGCCTCTTCTGCTTATGTTTCCCCTTCCTCTCTGTGGGCCTCCCCTTCCTTTGCTGTCTTTCAAATCCCCACTTTATCATTCCATTCCCCCCCCAACCCCTCTCCTCCTCTCCCCTCCTCCCCGTCTCCCCGTCTCCCCCTCTCCTTCCTCTCCCCGTCGCAACCATGGCAGCCAGTCGCAGCCGCCTCTCACTCGCACATTCCCTGCCACTCTGCACCTACTTAAACCTGTCTCGTCTCAAAACCCACTGGATCTCCCTTCCTCAGTCCTCTTCCCCTCCTCCCCCACATGCAAATCACCGCAGGCCAGTCGCAGCCGCCTCTCACTCGCACGTTCCCTGCCACTCTGCACCTACTTCAACCTATCTTGTCTCAACGCCCACTGGATCTCGCCCGACCTCTTCCTGCTCCTCGCTAGAGCCGCTCTCGACCTCCCCTTTGCTGCTGCTGCACCTGGCGCCACCCCGTCCGTGGCCTTTGTGCATGTGCAGTCCTCCTACCTATGGTGCATGCCCTTCACTCGAAGCAAGTAGTCATTCTCCACAGATGGCGCACGCCCTTCACTCAAAGCAAATAGGCCAGCGCATGCCTCTAGTGCCATGCCATTTCCAAACGTCACATTTGACACTGCAATCTGTAGCCATTTCCGGCCATGCCGTAGCATCCCATCATATGACATCTGGTCTGGAAATACATAAAAAAAGCATTCGTTTCGTTGCATCTTGGTGTGCAGGGCCTCTGGTGGACATGCTGGGTGAGCTGACGGTGTATGGCATGGGGTACGCGCCATCCAGGCACAACAGTGTTGATATCATCATGCCTACCAACAGCACTGCAGTTCTCCAGAAGCTGTACAAGTGGTGCGTCACCTCGTGGGTTCATGACTAGAGATGTGTTCACCTCGTGGGTTCATGACTTGTGATGTGTTCACCTCGTGGGTTCATGACTTGTGATGTGTTCACCTCGTGGGTTCATGACTTGTGATGTGTTCACCTCGTGGGTTCATGACCCATTCGCCTTCCACCTCGTGAGTTCATGAGTTGTGGGTTCATCACCTTGTGATGTGTTCACCTCTTGGAACATATCCATTCCGCCCTTTTCCTCTTTCTGCAACCCAAGGCCTGCCACTGCAACTTAGAGCTTGCCGTTGCAACATGGCTTGTCAAAACAATCGAGTGTCACACATACCGGCAATTGCAATGCAACCGTCTTAGGCAGCACACCCATCTTTCAAACGACCTGACCACAATTCTGCCCTTTTCTTCATCATTTGTGCATCCTTTGTATGGCACCTCCATGCCTGCAGGTGGTACACGGACGTGCTGGTGTGGATGAAGAGCACCTTCGGTGTGGTGGACTTTAACCCTCCCACCAGCGCCATCTCGTTCCAGATGCTTCCATACAGCCAGGCGTGGCACGCCATGGCCCATCGAGCCATGACCCGCCTTCCCCAGCGGTACATTGCGGTACATTATCGCTCCGAGCTCATCGCCTTCCACCTCGTGAGTTCATCGCCTTCCACCTCGTAAGTTCATCGCCTTCCACCTCGTGAGTTCATCACCTTCCACCTCGTGAGTTCATCGCCTTCCACCTCGTGAGTTCATCGCCTTCCACCTCGTGAGTTCATCGCCTTCCACATTCGAGGACACTTGGCTTTTGAAGGGACACAAAATTACTCACAAGTCACTTTGATTCGCATCTCACTGCTGCCGCAATCCCACCTCACCCACACCCTGTAGGCGCACAAGCTATTGCGAAGAGGCTTCAAGGCGGAGGCAGGCGTGCTGGAGGAGCTGATGACGGGGTGCATGGAAGCGGCGCGCGATCTCATCAACGACATGAAGCGCCGCCACAACATCTCCGCCGTCTTCATCGCCGCCGACGTGTCATTTGACGACAAGGCGGGCAGCGTGGTGCGGTCAAACTCGTGGAAAGAGACCACATGGAAGTTTCAAGGGCAAGAGAGGGTGCTGCAGGCCCCACAGGAGAAGTTGCGGTGGCTGAGGGAGCAGGTGGCGGGGACTGTGATGGTGGACTAGCTCTTGCCCGCCATCAACCAGTATGACCCCGGTCAGTGCACTCTGCTTGGGTGGGTGGCTTCTTTGATGTGTAACTGCTTCGATGGCTGCTTTGATGGCGATTTGGGCGGCTTCTTGGGTGCTTGGGCGGCTATTAGATGGCTGATTGAGTGGCTGCTTGGGCGCTTGGGAGGCAGCTACGTGGCAAGATCTGCCTGCCAAAGACTTTGCCCCACGCCCCTGCTCCTTAAGCCAACAGAAAGAGTGCAGCCAAAAGAGTGCACTTCCAAAAGAGTGCAGCCAGCTGTTCCTGTGTGCCATGCCAACCCTCACCCTTTTCCTACGCACCTCTTCCTTTCCCGCTATCTCCTCTCCGTTCCGTCCATGCAGGCATCGTGGCCATATTGGACAAGCTTCTGTGCGCACATGCCCATGCGTTCCTGGCTGGATCCAACATATGCGGGGGAGGCCATGGCTTTGAGCAGGACATTACTACCCACAGGGTTCACTTCAACAAGACTTACCTCCACAGATGGGTCTCACAGACAGACGAGCTTCTATGGCACTCAAATGCCAGCTCTGCACGTGTAGCGGGATCTGACAACTGTTGGCCTGTAGGCCTTTGTAGGACAGGAAGCATGCACCATATTCCCCTGAATATAACATCCCATGGTGCTCTCTTAGATTCCAAATAAACAATTTGGGGGGCGGTCACATATGCTAAGAAAATATAGCGCCCAGATGCATATACCGTATTCTCGCGTACATATGACCCTCCACGGACTGGTTCTGCACGTCCGTGGCTCCTTTTGTGTCGTATCATGCTTTCAGCCGGTCGTTTGGAACCGCCGTACATTGGATGGGCTCAAGAGAGGGGAGAGGGGACAAGGAATGAATAGTAAGATTAAGAAAGAGGCAATACACAAGAGCAATGGTAGTAATAACGTATTAAGAATAGGATAATAACAGAGTGGCGTGGTACACAAAGCGGAATGTGGACAATAAGAGGAGGGACAATAACGAGAAGCGAGAAAAAACCCTCCCACGGCCCCCCCAAGGCCCCCCAAGGCCCCCCAACCCCCAAATCCCCTCACAGCCCCCTACACAGCCCCCCATCACGGCCCCCTACCCCCCTCTGTCATCGGACATGACTGCCCCTCTACACCCTAGGCCCTTCAAGGCCTTCTCTTTTCCATCTATTTTCTACCCTTGGATGTCACTTGGGTATTTCCCTGCTTGCTCTTTTCCTGCTCATGTTTTTGCTCCTGATTCTGTTCCTTCTACTGTTCCTGCTTGTGTTCCTGTCCATGCTCCAGTTCATGCTCCTGTTCACTCGCCAACAGACCTCCCCGGCTCTGGCCCCGCACCACCTGGGGTCTGCCCAGACCTCCCAGAGTCCGCCCAAGGTGGCTCCTATCTATACATACAGACATCCTTGCTACCATTTCCCACTTCATGTGCTTGCTATCCGTTTCTCGTACCTTCAACGTGCACAAGAGAGCCTTCACTTCACAGCGCCCCGCAGGAGAGAATGCCACCTGCGCAAGGTGGGGTGGGGCCGGGTGGGTGCGGGGGAATGGCAGGTGTGAGGTGTAACCAGCGCCGCGAGCGGCAGCATACTCGGCATGTGACTGGTAACACGGTTACCCATGGCAGCAATAACACAGGTTAACAATTGCAGCAGTAACACAGGTTACCATTGGCAGCTGTAACACGGATAACAATAGCAGTGGTAACACGGTTACCCGTGGCAGAGTTAATATGGGTTACCCATGGCAGCGGTAGCACAGTCACCAATGGCAGCAGTAACACATGTGAACAAACAATGGCCGCGGTAACACATGTGAACAAACAATGGCAGCAGTAACACATGTGAACAAACAATGCCAGCGGGAACACATGTGAACAAACAATGGCAGCGGTAACACATGTGAAAAAACAATGGCAGCAGTAACACATGTGAACAAACAATGGCAACGTACATGTCAACAAACAATGCCAGCGGGAACACATGTGAACAAACAATGACAGCGGTAACACATGTGAACAAACAATGGCAACAGTAACACATGTCAACAAACAATGCCAGCGGGAACACATGTGAACAAGCAATGGCAGCGGTAACACATGTGAACAAACAATGGCAACGGTAACACATGTCAACAAACAATGCCAGCGGGAACACATGTGATCAAACAATGGCAGCGGTAACACATGTGAACAATGGCATTGGTAACACGGATAACAATGGAATTGGTAACACAGGTTACCAATGGCTGTAGTAACACGTGAACAATGGCAGTGGTAACACTGTTACCTCGGTGAGTGGCAGCGGCGGCAATGGAGTTCCTTATACTCATTTGGTTACGTGTGATGGTGGTACCAAAATCAACAGTGGTAGTGGTAAACCAACCAAGTACCTCAGAAACTGGAAGCCTGATCAACTACGGTAATGATACCGTAATAGCCCCGCTTACATGTGGCAAAGGGAGGGGAACAGGGTTACGGGTGGTAGGGTAATTTCCTGGTTGCCTTGCCAGCGGCGATGCTGAACCTTTTACCCATGGCAGCAGTAACCACAAAAACTATGGCCGAGTTGTCACCAAGTTGCCTCAGGCGCTAGTAACTAGGTTACCAGATACAGGGGAGAAGAGAAGCGCACGGGGTGAGCCAGAAAATAACGGGTGGGCCAGAAATGGGTGGGTGGGCCAGAAATGGGTGGGTGGGCCAGAAATGGGTGGGTGGGCCAGAAATGGGTGGGTGGGCCAGAAATGGGTGGGTTGGCCAGAAATGGGTGGGTGGGCCAGAAATGGGTGGGTGGGCCAGAAATGGGTGGGTGGGCCAGAAATGGGTGGGTTGGCCAGAATGGATGGGTGGACCAGAAATGGATGGGTGGGCCAGAAATGGGTGGGTGGGGGGAAATGAAGGGAAGGGAGGAAATGATAAAGGGGTAAAATCATTAGACAAGGGGAAGGAGAAGAGAGTGGGTGAGGGGGAAAGAGAGTGGGTTCATGGGAATGAACCCAAAAGTTGCAAGCTATTTCAGAAGCTCTCATGTTCCATGATCTTTCATGTTGTACTTGTTACTATTAATTATTTAGGCGGTTTCTTCTTACCACGAAAGTGCAGTGCCACATGGACCGCTGTGATTGGCGGAGAGGAGCGCGGCGGCTGCGCGATGTGCTGCCGACGGCTGGAGAGTGGCAGGGAGCGAGCGGGATGGAACTAGGGGGGAGGGCGGAGAGTGGAGGGGGGGTGGGGGGAGACTCAAAGGGCGGGCAAACACAGGGAATAAGGAAGGAAGTGGGATAGGCACAAGGACGGTAGAAGTGATGGAAAGGGGTGAAGGAGGGGAGAACACAAGGGCACCATAGCTGGCAGCGATAAGGAAGGGTGAATCAGGAAACAGGACAACGTGTGAAATCAGGAGAATGTGTGAAATCTGGAGGTGTAAAATCAGGAAAAGGTGTACAATCAGGAGAAGTCGTGAAATCAGGAGGAGGTGTAATATCAGGTGAAGGGGTCAAATCAGGAGAAGGGGTCAAAACAGGAGAAGGGGTCAAACAAGGAGAAAAGGTAAAGCAGGAAAAGGCAAAAAAAAAAAAAAAAAAAAAATCTAGAGACAGGGGGAGGTGAAGAGAATGGGTTTGAACGAAAGAGAGTGGGTGCAGGGGAATGAATCCAAAAGGGGTTACGCTGTCAATTGCTGGATGTGACCTTCGTATCTCATATGCTTCCATTCTCCTGATTCTATTATTCTCTGTACTTGTATTTTCATTAATGTTCTTGCGCATTGCTCTTACCGTGGAAGTGCAGTGTTACATGGACCACCGTGATTGGCGAAGAGGCACGCAGCAGCGGTGCGGTGTGTCAGTAGAGCTACACTGTGAGATCCCCGATCGATCCTAGGGGGGGTTACAGGCGCGTTTGCCTGGGGGGTTATGGGCGCACTGACCCGCTACTAAAACAAGCCCTTTTATCCCAATGGTCTAGTGGTTGGGATTCTGACATGGTATCAGAGCGGTCTCGGGTTCGAATCCCGGTGTATGCACATGTTGGCCGTTGCCACTGTGCTCAGTCCTGGGCCTCCCAGTGTGGGGGGGTGTCAGTAGAGCTACACTGTGAGATCCCCGATCGATCCTAGGGGGGGTTACAGGCGCGTTTGCCTGGGGGGTTATGGGCGCACTGACCCGCTACTAAAACAAGCCCTTTTATCCCAATGGTCTAGTGGTTGGGATTCTGACACGGTGTGCAATCAACGGCTGGAGGGAGAGAGGGAACGAGCGGGGCGAAACCAGGGGGGAGGAGGGGGGAAGACAGAATAGCGGCAGAATGAAGAGGAGGGGAACAACGGAAGGCACAAGGGCTTCAAAAGGAAGGGAGAGAGCATATGCTTCCAATTTCCAGTTTGTATCTCTTGTTTTTTGGCTATCCTTGATCAGTTTCGTCTATTTTCTTTGTGTGCCTTTCACGCCTGGTAGGGCCACCGCTGGCAGTTTGAAAAAACATCTGGCGGAAGGGAGGGCATTTAGTGAGCTGCAGTGCGTGGCATATCCAGAGTGTGCGTACTCGTCCAGTTCACTTACCTGGAGTTGTTGGTTTAAGATTGGCTTGTTCCCGTCTTGCTTGACGGCTTTCGCGGTCAGCGCCGCAACTCCGCGCATGTCGTAGCGTTCGCCGCGAAGCACCCGCGCGTGCACATCCCGGTCTAGCATAGCTCGCACAGTCCTTCCTCCTCACAGATATAACGCCATCGGCGCAATCAAAGCAGCGTGTTGACAGCGGGGCGCCGAGAGCAGGGTGTCAAGATCAGGGCAGGACAGATTGTGAATCAGCAAGGATTTTTTTGAAAGTAGCGAGGCTAATTGTGAAATTGCGAGGCTGAGTTAAAATTTGCGAGTCAGAAAGTAGATGCTGATTGCTATTACCTACCTTGCTTTGGTAGGACAAGCCTCTCCTCTAGTGTGGTGTGGTATGGTGTGTCATCTGTGGATGTAAGGGGTTTGGGAAAATAATGCGGT